TTTCACTCTTCTTTCTGAACAGCGGCCGATGAGACGATGACTGTCGTATTGATGCCTCCGCGAAAATTGGGGAAGTTGATTTTGAGCAAACAACCAAGAATTGATCGTTCAATCTTCAACTCCATTGACACTCCCCGGCAAAAAAGGGATCCAACCCTTTTTTCCTTCACGACCAATGCACGTTGACTTGGATGCCATTGCGAGAACCTGGGTCACACGGACAGAGCTGAAATGGAAAACAAACAGAAAAGCCAACACACCACAAGCATACCCACAGCACAATCTCACACATCAATGACGACCTGCGCCTCCAGACAGAGACCTCCTCTTGACATCTTTCAACACAATCTCCACTTACTAGAATGACTCTTGCAGAATGCAAAGTGACCATGGCAGCACCTCACGATACTCTACGCACATCCTCTTATCTACTCATTACCAATTACCACTGAAATCGCTTGTCACTCATTCTGCCTCAGTTCTAGTAGCGGTGATGTATGCGAGCCTCAGCCGTTTACACTCCTGCTCCCCGGCGTGTCGGACCGCAGCTAACAATTATCTCCGTGTGCATTTCATTCTCAGCAATAGCCTAGCCTCCCCGGCGTATACGACCCATCTGCTGTCCTTAACATCAATCAATTCATTCATGGATGTAGAAGACAAGAAACAACTTCAGAAGTAATCACGACGAAAATTTTAACAAAATTACGCAATAACAACAAGATACGAAAACAACAAGTAAACACAATGAATCCAAAGAACACCAATTGATATGACACATCACACGTATATACAAATAGTACAAACAACCTCGCCGATCATGTCTTGGTGGAATTCCTTTGAAGAATTGCAGGACTTACACCAGTACGCCTACAACCCTTCTCAGGTTGACGATTGTAATTTGTGGAATGTCCGGACACAAACAAGATTAACCAACAATTGCGATAATTGGAACTCACACAACTATTTAACACAAACATATGTACAATCACTACATCAAATGTTGTGGATTCCGGCATGACAAACTACCCTTGAAGAACTGTAGGACTTACAGCAGTACGCCTACATTCCTTCTCAGGTTGATGATACAAGTGGAAGTCGTCCGGACACAAACAGAATTACCAACAGCTAGATGACAGATGATATCAATTCAGTATATACAATATGAACATATGTACAAGATCATACACCAAGCACATTGGACTGCTCATTGATGCGCTACCCTTTGAAGAACTGTAGGACTTACAGCAGTACGCCTACAACCCTTCTCAGGTTGACGCTCTAGGTTGGAAAATCGTCGCAGAGTTCATTTGCTAACTTCCTTCTATGAGCTATATCCTCAAATCTGAACGGCAACACGCCCATGTCATTGTATCGTAGAATATAGATGACCAACAAACACACGACATATCTCATCAACCAAGTATAGAAACAGAGTAATTTACACCAAAGATAATAACATTCAAATAGTAACTTGAAACTAGAAATGCCTTTATTCGTGCAAGTCAATTTAACAATTACTCTCTCCTTTACACTTGGCTTATCCTCACTAAACTGACCATTGATATTCGTCCTTTCAAACGAACTGATACTATCATAGTCATTGCACAAGATACTTGAGTTGATGGGCGTCTTTTTCATTGTGGATGACAGCACCAACGACGACTGATTGATATCAGTTGATGAAGTTAGCGGTGGATCAAAAGCTGTTGTTGCTCGACTTTCAGAAATTTGTCTACCTGCAAGACCACCACCACTGCTGTCTTTTACTATCAGCTCAGGTTTAGCACTAGCATCTGATGATAGGTGGGCTACATGCTGATCACTCACACTGACGGTCTCACAAGTATCCATAACTTCTGCAACTGCATCTGCATTTATTTCTACTTCACGTTCAAGTTGTACAGAAACTTTGTTCAACTTAGCAGTAGTAGGCATATCCCTCGTCTCATCATGATCAACCAAAGACAACTGTGAAGTATCATGATCATTATCACGAATATTCACTTTACCGTCAACTTCATCATTTTCAAACTCTTTAATAACAGAAGTAGACAATTTTGGTTCCTCCTCGCAAATCATTAAAGGTTTTATATCTTCACTCTGACTAGTTATACTTTGTAAACTTGTGGAGTCAGAACTCCACTCTGAAGCAGTAACTCTATTCTGTGACACTCTATTCAACAACGGCTTACCAGTTGCAACTACAGACTTCTTCACAACACCGTTATCGTCACACAATTCGGAGTCAGACCTGGAGTTTACATTTAGCTTATCACTGAACTTGCTCACCGGTTCACAGTTCACCTTTGTATGCACCTCTTGCACACGTGTAAAACAAAATCGTGTTTGCCTTGCATCTGTTGAGGATGTACTACGAAACCTGTTACACTCACTAGGTCTATATGCATTACTATACATCATGGAGTCTTCTCGATATTCACCTCTCTGAGGCCTACTCGTCATCAATGATTGCATTTTGATCTCAGACTGCTCTATTCTAGGGGTGAGATGTAATAGACCGGCGAACTTGCTCATAGATTGATTGACACTATCTTTTACCAGTTTCAGGATATCATCAAACTTTGGCTCGATACCCTCATCCTCCATACGGGAGCTTATCTTCACCCACTTCCTTTGCAGTCGAGTAGGTAGACGTCTTACTATTACTTCTAGTATAAAACTCGAGTTGAGGTCACTCATGCGATTCATCGAAATCATTCCATTCTTGTAAATTAGCAAATTATCTAAAAACTCAGTGAGTGCCTGGGAGTCATCCTGTAATTGACCACCATTACCCTTAACAGCCTCGAATAATTTCCCTGCAATCATCGAAGGTCTTCCAAACCTTTGACGTAATATGCTCATAGCCTCATCGTAGCCCTCTTTTGGCTTCATAAACTTACAACACTGTATAGCTCTTGCAGCATCTCCAGTGCAATATCTCATCAAATACATTAACTTCAATTCATCACTTGATAGGAAACTACTCAACATGATCACAAACTCCTTTACAAATTGTAAATAATCAGCCGGGTTTCCATCGAAACACCGTGGTTCAAATTTAGGGAGTTTGATGTTCCTATTATCCCTGAACGGTGAAACAGTAACATCAACCATGTCATGCTTAACATGAGGCACGTCGTTACAATTAACAGACAAGTCACCATGACTTACTTTCCTGTTTGCATCCAAGACACTCTGTCCCTTCTTTGACCCAGGCATTGTTGAACTTGACCAAATTCCAAAAAAGTTCCAGATATTGCTTGTTCAAAGAGGACTTGACCGGCACCAGGAAAAATGAACGGCGACTATCCAAACTTTCACCAACTGTTTGAATCCGCCAGATCTGTTTCTATCGTCAGAAACTGTCAATCACGTCTCATAAACCGTTGATGCCCAGCTCTCGCTACGCTCGGGCCCACGCTGTTCCTTGAAGATTTCAGAAACGCTTAGTTATAACGGACGAAAAAACCAAAACACCGATCTGCCGCTTGATATTTCTTTATTGTTACACCAACATATAAAAAGAATAAGTGAACTAAGGTCCGAAAACAAATATTACAATAATAAATCATTGTATTACTTCTGACGATGTTTCACTCTTCTTTCTGAACAGCGGCCGATGAGACGATGACTGTCGTATTGATGCCTCCGCGAAAATTGGGGAAGTTGATTTTGAGCAAACAACCAAGAATTGATCGTTCAATCTTCAACTCCATTGACAAGGGTCTCCAAAAAAATAGGTATTTGGTTCGGGAAAATTGGCTAATTGTGATGACAATCTAAGAGGCTATTGTTGGACGTCTTTCTTTTGGATAGATAACGGTGACTTGAGTGTGTGAATGCTAATAACTCAGCCTTGCACTCCGATAGGTTTGTTCGAATAATGTATGGAAATTTCGAGTAGTTTTCAAGTGAAAATGAGTCTCTTGAGTCTACAATATGTCCACTCTCTCAACTATAAAATTGGAAAAGAATCTTTTTCTTCTCTGCATCTATCCTTCTTTTTTTCTGATGACCCAGTGTGCCTATTCCATAGATTGTACATGTACGAACTTGCTTTGCTACTTGAATAGGTGAAACCTTTGAGGGCAACCTATTTTCTAGTGAATAATGGGGATTCACTCGGTGAGAAGTCTAGCTTTCTACTTGGCTAAACATATCAGAATGAGGTGTTCAAGGGAGTGAATAACATCGCGGTATAAACTCAGGATGCTTCTTGTCAACGTCTGACTGCATACGTGAGAATCAACAGCTTAAATCAATTCAAAGCATTTGGGCTGGTTTAGCAGTTTATTGAGTAAATATCCAGTTATTTTACTATCCATATATCTATTCCAGGCATCTTTTATCTTGTATCAGGTAGAGAGCCGCTCAGAAACACTATTGCTGAAGTTTTAGGAGTGGGTATTTTGTATTATATTATTACACCGTACAATGTAAAAATAAGTGACGATGCTATGTAAATTGGCCTGATTATTTAATTCTAGTGGTAACTTTCATCCAATAACCTGAATGCTGGCTAAAGTGTATGGCAAGTGAACTGCAGAAGTGCGGAGTACACCAGATGTTCAAAGCATAGTGCCCAGTGACTGACATTAGATAACAACAGTGTTATGGCGCAAAGAATGCAGTCTACCTGTGTTTGCCATTCTCTGGCCAAACTCAGCAGCATTCATCTAGGCGCATTACCGATCAAAATTTGAATATTGGCATGAGAACCTTGGCGGAAGGATAACAGATTTATATGTTGGGACGAAAGCTCAATATCTAGTAATGGGGACCTAAACAGTATTTATACAGTTATGGTACAAAAGTATTGCATCCCTCAGATATTATGCTTAGGTCAAAAATTGTTGAAAGTCATAAATAAGAAAAGTATGTCAGAAAATCTTTAGATTTCAGTCTTTCAGGTCGATGCTTTCAACAGTTCTTGTAATGCGAGCTAGTAAGGTGTACCTTAGTTGTTGGACCACGCAGATTGGCGGTCCCTTTAAATGGAGTGGTTTCAGGGTGAGGTTTCAGAAGCAGTCAAATTGGTGAAACAAGAGTCTAAAGTTCTCCTGGTTTTTATTAAAGGTTTGTAGACCCTTTTTAAAAGGTTAGTACTCCTTCAGGAACTGACGATGAATCTGGATTCGTTGCCAGTCAGTTTGATGAACAGGTTTCAAGATCTTGTTGCAATTTAATATGTAAGTACCTCAGTGTTTCATATGTAAACTGTGTGAAAATCGCTGATAACAAGTTTATTTCGTTGATTTTAAGGATTTCGTTAGTTTATTGTATCTGGGTGAATACTAGGGCCATCATTTTATATACACAATTAACGTAGCGGGGCTGCAGCAACCATCGGGCAGTAATTTTGCTCGAAATATTACCAATAACAAAACTTATCATTGTGTGTAAACTATTAAAATATAATTATGCTTTATTTAACCATCGAGGAATTTCTCAATAAAATTAGATAGGAAGTCCTTTGTTCAAATGAAGTTACTGATTTTCTTTTGATCATGTAGAGGAGGAAACGCTTGTCCTTTTCTATTTTGCCTAGTCAATTTACAGTGGGGAATCCATGTAGAACTAGTACCTGAGGATGCATTTTATAGTATATACCTATATCGAAAAATAAAGACACTAAATAGTTTAAAATGGCCACTAACCTAAGTGTGTCTATTTTCCAATTTATTCCGTGCGTAATTGTTGTTACAGTGGTTCAAAGAAGTTTGATTCCAAGTCAGCTGAATGCAACAATGACGTAGATATCCCCATTTCCCCTAAAGGAACCTTTAATTACGTCTCTAGACGATACAAAAAGAGAAGTATTTACGCTCGATAAGAAGCGTAGTTAAGTTAGAATAAACCTGACATTAGAATTAAGTGTTTTCACCTACCCAATGTGATGAGTCTTCGAAACACATTACAAAACAGTACCATTCCGTCGATAGCTCTGGTTCTTAAAACAGAAATCGTATTCGATAACATTTGGTTGGCAGTCGTGTGCGTACATAGTGACTCAATGCTCTACTGAGGCGAAAATAAGACCGCTAATCTACTCCACGTCTAATACAAATCTGATCATGGGCACGACGTATCTTAACAGCTGTTAAGCATAATAAATTCTGAACAGGTAGTATCAGTGCTTCCGGGAGTTGAACCCTCTGAAATATGGCATTGTGAACATGCACATAGTCCAGTGCTAGCCAAAATAAAAAATAGAAAGAATGTATTACTGTCTTATTCCAGAATTTATTCCTCTCCAGCTTCAAATGTGATGCGAATCTCTTGTCTGTTATCTACTGGCAGAAACCTGTCAAGACAGAGGACCGCTGTCACATTCACTGTATTTGATTAATGCGTATGTAACGTGTATGTGCTACTGCGTAAATCCAAATGAGTGCGGTAAGCTGCACTGCGTTTCCAAGCGTGGCTCCCAGATAAAAGCACTAAATCTGCTCCATGGGAACTTGGAAAGTATCATCCAAACCAAAAGCAACACAATCCACTCTGCTACAGAAGCAAGGATGCCTGAGTAACTTGAGATATTAACAGTGAAAGTCTCTAAATGCGATAAGTATAACGAAAAAGTAATAATGTAAGTTAATCAACACGCTACATTTCACTGGTTGCAGGAATGTCAAGTGTCAGTGTATGTTACCAAGGTTATTGTGTAGACATTAAGACCAGGACAGCCAACAGTGTGGACCCTAAAAATGGTACATTACGACTTACCCTACTGCTGCCCGTAGCTGACGGTAAGTTACTAATGCATTACCAAAAATATAAAGACAGTTCAAACTAGATGTGTGTGACCGACCTCAAGCAGTTGTTCCCTGGGCTCATAGGTCACGCAACAATAATTCTCCTTGTTTCAGGTACTCCAAGAAAAAAGGTCAGCCGGCAATTAGCAAGTGCCCACAAGCTTCCAAAAGTACATGAAGCCTTCCTGATCATCATTTCCCTTATACCTACATCACACATCATCTTGTTTTCCTCCTACTGCTGATACTATTCCGCAGGTTGGCCATCTTCCTTTAATTCTGCAACCATAGATAGCTATGCGAACTATAAAAACACCCAACAGTCTCTCAAAGCCACACAGCCCTTTCTTCAACATTTAATACCTGGACTCTGTCAAATAGGACAACAGGCATTACTAGTCAGAACTCCGACATCTCGAGCCATGGATGTATGTTGTATTTTTGAGACACGCGTACAAGACCCGAGTGTGGTCATTCACTTAACCCCACCCGGTCAACAAGAATCTGCGAAATTCACTTTAAGGGTGTTAGGAGACCTCAGCTAGCTCGCGAGAACTCGCAGGTGTAGAGATAGCACTTAGTGTTAGGGCGGGAAAATCACTTCTTGACTAGATCCCAGTAGATAGTAGTATGTGTGCGGTCCGTCTGAATGGATCCGTTAAACAAGGAAAGACGGCGCTACCCGTCGTTGCTTTTTTGTAGTCTCCCCTTACGCCCCAACAGACTGCAGTTCGGATGAGCTAAAAGATGACTTCCACCTGAAACTGTCTAATTTGCTGCAAAAAGCAAAACGTTCAGATATAGTTGTATTAGCAGGCGACTTCAATGCTCAAGTAGGGAAGTTGTGCCAGACTGAGAAGTATGTAGGTGGTGGTACCTATGGAGTTCTTTGCCAATGAGCCGACACCGATGATCGTCTTCTACAATTCTGTTCAGATAGCAATAACTTGCCTAACTTGGAGACCTCTATCACCAAATCAATGTTGGACTCAACTAGACCACGTGGCGATGGCCTATCGTTGGTGACGGTCAGGAGAAAACTACTGCTCCTTCTGGAACACGTGCGTAGACTCCAATCACGCCCCGGTTCACGCGCGTTTATGCTTACGATTAAGGGGGCCCAGAAAACTGTTAGCAACGAAGCAGTTACGCCTCCAATTCGGCCAGAACACTAAGTCCCTACTTGAGGAAGAAATTGGTGGACGCGTATCTGAGGTCAATAGCAAGACTCCTCCTAGGGAAGCTTGGGACAATACACAGTTAACTGTAGACGCAGCTGTTAAGGTTGTTAATAGTCTAAAATCAAAAGTTAGTGAAAGCCAATGGAGTTCTGCTACCCTATGCGAACTGATCGACTCAAGGAGACTGATTATAGCATGCAAAAGCTGCTCAAAAGCAAACTGGCAGGAGGTCTTCGCAACGGCCATGAACATCGGTGAGCGACATAAGCGAAAGAGATGGAAAAGGCATCGGTGATAGGTAACACCAGTTAACTATTTAGACATCAGAGAGACAAGTGGCGAAAGGCAAACGACAGCTGAAACAATCTGTGAGAAAAGTCACCATAATTAGCTCCCAGGATGGACGACTGGAAAGAATACTTTGAGGAGCAGTTGAATCGGCCTACAACCACGCTCAACTTACCGAGCATCCAACACCTCCCTGAATGGGATATAAACACCGGTCTTCCGTCTCTAAGTGAGGTTACAAAAACTGCCACTATTCTGAAACTTGGCAAAGCTGTTGGACTTCAGGGAATGGCTTCAAAGGTGGAGAAAATTTACTATCTAGGTTAACTTAGGTGTTAGATAACGTTTGGTAATCAGAAATAGTTCCGTCGGTCTGGTGTAAGTTATTGATTATCACGATATACATGAAGGGAGACAAGTCTTCTTGTGATAATCACAGGGAGATTTGCTTGACTAATATAGTATCTAAAGTTCTAGGCTCAATAATAATGCGTAGATTAAGTGGTGCTCGGAAGGAACATGCATGAGAAAAGCAGGCGGGCTTTAGACCAGGAAGAGGTTGCATTTATCATATCTTCACCCTTCGACAGATTTTGGAACATAGGCATACAACAATCGTTATATTTCTCGACCTAAAGGCGGTACTCGATTCTGTTAACCGAGAGGTACTATGGCAATGCTTGGCTGTAAAGGGAATGCTGAGAAAATACATTGCACTGATCAAGTCACTATTCGAATTCACGCAGCCAGGTGTCAGCTTATGGCGAGTTGTCACCTGAAGTGGTGACGACTAGTAGTGTCCGTCAGGGTTGCCCACTATCCCCATTCCTGTCTAATTTCATAGATGTACTGATTGATTTAACCCCCAACTGACTTCAGAGACTCAAGGATGGACTATTTATCAAGGAATAATCTCGTTAACTCAGAATATGCAGATGTTATAGTCCTGCTCGTAGGTGAAGATGCTGAAAAAGTACTGAGTCTTCTGAACACCTTGAGCATCAATTTTGGAATGTTTCTCATGCGATTTGCTCCTTTCAAATTTAAGATGATGCTACAGGACTGAACTGGACTGGACTATGTTGACTCCTAGCTTAGAAATAGGCAGCAGTGAAGTGGTAGAGCGCGTTGACCACTTCACTTATATGGAAGGGGTTGCATCAACCCCAACTAATTGGTCGTTGACAAAATCTCAGCACGGATACAGAGGGTTCGTTTGGCATATGCCAACGGAAGCCATCTCTGGTGTAAACGTGATATAAGGCTGTCAACTAAGAGACGTGTGTACTGCACAGCAACAGGTTACTCCGTTCTCGTGTATGAGTGTGAAAGAGACGTAACCATGGGAAATGGATGAAAAGACTAGCTGTTTTTGACCATAGGTGTCTGCGTTCTATATCCCGTGTGAAGCATAGTAAGGTGAGCAATATTGAGGTTAGGCGTCAACTGCGGGAAATCAGTCGACGAGATTGTTGGTTTACATCGATTGAGATAGTTAGGACATATGTTACACAGCCTATCCATCGCCTTCCTCGACAATGAGCAATGTTGGGTGATATTGAATCAGGTTGGAGAGGAGGTAATGGTAGCCAAACCATAACATGGCATAAGTCAATGAAATGCACATCAGTCAGTTTAAGCCAGCCATATTAGAAGGTGCGTTGCTTGGTAGAAAATTAATGGGTGTATCAGAACGACTATGTTTACTCTCGACCGCTTCAAGTGATTAAAGTTTTCAGAGTGGTAGACTGAAAATTGAGAAGTTTGTTTTCTACAGGAATGTATACTGTTGTTGAACTTCGTACATCTGGTTACTTTCTAAGAATTTACATATAACTGCTTCAGGTCTTCAGTTGGATGCCTCATCTCATGCTACTGCACAGTTTTCAGCCGTTTATGCAGTGCTTACTGTCCCATGCATCTACCTGATCAACCCCGATGGACAAGTAATTGATGTTAAGTTGGGTCGTATTGACAATAAAGACTTGATTGACTGGATACGTAGTTCAGATAGGAGATCGATTGAAGGTGAGTTAATCTGTTAATATTTTATTTATTCAATCAAATGGGTCTACTTCGTACAATGGTGGATTTCCATGCATTTAGTGTGTAATCTGATGTGTATTTTTGTTAATCGTGGTTTTCTCTACAAAGACTCTGTTCATTCTTTTGTGCATGACAAACCAGTGGAGACTAAATATTAGTCTCTTGGAATTATTTTATACTTACCTTGTCGTAAGTCTTAGTCATATTCAGAAAACATTGTGGCTATATTGGTTATTGTTTGACTACCAACCACTGAGTCTCATATAATAAATCCATTATATTTGCTCATAGCAAATGCACCTTAAGTACTACTATCGGCTAATTCGTAAACGTAGTTTGAAGAGCCCGGTTAGTGATCTGCATTGCAGTTGGGATAGAGTTCTGAAATCGATAACTAAATGAAGTAGGAATGACTTCATTTGAAATTTAATTTGTTTACATTTAGGGACAAACACTCCCACTTCAAAATCATGCATAAGAGTTTTATGTCAGGTTTCACTTTAAACCAATGATCACAACATACTAACGGGGAGGGGACCACTTAGATGAATACAAGGAACTTTCTCGGCATCTGATTCTATCTGCTATTGTTCAGATGTAATCGAAAATTAATTTCAAGCGACAAAATGTGATGCCACAATAACCCAACGATCGGATAATGAAGGTAACTACAGCTTACGCAGTCATTGAGTTTTCACGGAAATGGTTAAGAACCGGTGGATACACATCTTCATCCCATGTTTATTCATATCGTCTATCGCACAATTTTCAACAAGTTTGACAGCTTACAAACAAATGTCTGATTCACATTGTGGCTGGGATGATTATAGTATGAATATCTTTGACCTTTCTTATAAGTCGGAATGGATAATGATTCTGATTATTCTTTATCTGCTTGTTATAGTGTTATGAAAGCTGTCTGCAAGCCAAAATTGTAAACAACAGTTTACCTCAGTGTTTACTTCCCGAATCGGGGTCATGAGAAAAAATAACAAAGCCTAACCTTGAAGAACTCAAAAACCAATCACAGCAGACATAGCGTGTGTAAATACGAATCGCATATGTATGGTAACTTTGTAAGCGACGGTCACAAACAGTACAGAGTAACCTCCAACAAAAAAATTAATCTTAAGACATTGCTTCTCTGCTAAAATAACGAATAATAATCGACATAAAAATCTATGAATATCTCTTGATTTTCGCAATAAATAATCTGTTGCTTGACCCTTGTTTTCTGTCGGTACAATCGACCCCAATGGACTGGTTGAAGACACAAACTCCTCTTTCAGCTGAACTCAGAAGGATCTGGATTGCCATGGTGTATTCAGATATATGGGCTAGTTGGTCTGTGCACGATAAATTCATGAGTATTTCTTGGTGGTCCGCCAATACTTGAAACAATGAAGTCAATCATATTCTCATGCCACCATGAAGTTGGTGTGAACAGCGATATAAGCCGTTTTTAGAAACACCACCGCTATGTTTCATTCTGTCTTTTACACTCTATGTATTTTACAGCTAAGATACTCACAAATTGCAAGTGTGATGATTGTAGTCCGTCCTACTGCTGCCCATACATTGCACTGCTATGATTAGTAGTTTGAAGCTCCTAGAGTAATTTATAGTAGTACATACAGCAGGGTGTTTTGATTTGATTGGAATAAACGAGTACAATAGTGAATTATCCGGAGCAGTCTATACTGTCTTTATCCATCTGATATAGGGTTATTGCAGACGAGTATCACGTGAAAATGCATATCCAGTGTTTCAAATATATAGTCATTTGAGAATGGGATCATGTACACTTACTTCCTACGTAGTATTTTGTCAACAACTGTTTTGTTAGGTTCATAATCACTGACGCTCATAAAAGTTTCTCCTTAGAAAAGAACTGGACATTATATTGATGAGTGTGAGGTATTTATATTTTATAAATAAACGTAGTGGTGATGTATTTATATGCATCCTGTCACTGTAGTGACCTTATAGGCTTTGTGGGAACAGTGTTCTGTGTTTATGTAATTAGTGATATGGAATATGTTCGCAGTAGATACACCTTATCCGTTCATGCATTTTGTATGATATTTTAAAAATTTTGCCTTAAAATCAACTATAATACTATTGTACTTTGTAATAAATATTTTCCTTCTGGATGAAGATATTCTGAAGATCACCAGTTTTTTACGTTTTCTTAAAACAGTTGCAAGTATACAAACAAGTAACGATCCATCAAAGGCTGTGACACCTGCTGTACCACCATCGTCATCTTCTCCAGGTTTCATACACACTGAGGCTAATCACGTTACCACATCAGATACGGTGGAACCACAAGCACCACTTTCGTCTGGGCAAGCGTTAGACGAACGAGTGGATTACGCCCGCAAGTTAATTGAAGCACAGAGGCGAGAAAAAGAAGAGGAATATAGGAAGAAATCTATTGATGCTGAAATTAAACGTCGAGAAACGGGAAAAGCTTTACATGAGTTTAAAGTAAGGGAAGTTTTTTGTTATGACTGCCTACTCATTGTATTCTTTCATAAGGCGTCTGCCTCATATATCTTTATGTCACTCCCAACATCAGATTTATACTCTTCACTCACTTGCTTTTAGCTGACATTGTATTTCTTTACATATTGTATCTGCATTTTGGTGGAGAAGTGAGGGTAAGAAGTCTTGTGAAGAGTATATAAACAATGGATAGCTTCTTTACCGAATTTTTTTTATCGCAATCTTCTTAACCTCCTTAATGAATTTTCTTTGATAAATGCTTGGGAAGCATTGTAATATAGGTTGTTCTCAGAATTCACAGTGAAAGCGAACAGTCTATAAGGTTTCATTCCGTAGTCAGAATTGTTTAGATCACATACATTTATCTCATTCATGTCATATATTCATACTTTAATTGTCACCAGACGTTACGTCACACTTGTTAACGCAACATCTTTAGTGTGGTGCCATCATCCCTGTTAGTTATCCTGTTTCCTGAACGAGGGACAGAACTGTTTCAACTTGATCTATTGTTGTAGTAAGAAACGTGAGATTTAAGCATCAACAGGGATGTAATTTCATGTTAGTTCGTCCATCAGATACATGCTAAAACAGTGAACTAAAAGTAGCTCTCGTCAAGATATCCCTTAAATGATACTGTTCAACAACCAAACTAATGTGATAAGACCACATAGAGTTAAAAAAGGTTTTATTAGTAAAACTGAAGTGTAATAACGTCTATTTTTCATCTGGATTGGTTAATTTTTTATTGCTGAAATTTCCACACATCAAATTTTCTTTACTGTAGCTTACATATTTACTATTTGTTGTAAATAGCAGCAGTGCAAAAGCTCAATGCGAAATTGTTGTGTTACTGAAAAATTACAGTTTCCTTCTTAAATGTACACTTTACCCAAAGGAAAAAGCCGAGTTCAGACTCCTGACCACAGAAGGCAGTGTCTTGTTTACCTTTTCCACTTGTGTATACTCAATAATTCTTTTGAGTTAGGCAAAATAAATAGAATATTAAAAATTAAAGAAAAACTATCAGTAGTGTCATCTGAATAGGCAAGCATGGAGGGTGTAAAGTAGTTGGTTAAATTGTATGAGGTAAATTTCACAAAATACAAACTTTTGAATTCAATTTTTTAGGATTACATTTTTACTTTGTGATAGTCCGACTTGCTGGATAAATCAAACCACTTTACATATATAAGAAATTAGTGTATACTATTTAGTATTTAAGCAGTAGTTTACTTATACCTTACTACATTACTCATTTTGTGCTATTTACGACAAAATGTATTCAAAGGCCTAGGTAGTGTGCTATTTCCAAAATGGTCTGCAAATTTCAGTGTTCTATTACTTCATTTTGTCTACCTTTAACAACTTTTAACACGCGAAGAATCATCATCCTTCAGTGTGTACATTGTCCTTGTTTTCATTTTGTAGTAAACAAGTCAAGTAGTGTTCCTTCTGAAAACGAAAGTTGCCTTCTTAGCTAACAATTTTTGTCTACATAGAATTGATGCATTGGTTTTGTCTTAGGAACGTCAGAGGCAAAAAGAAATCGATGAGGCTATGGCTGAACGTCGTAAAGAAGAAGCTGAATCACGCGCACAACTTGAAAAACTACGTCAACAAATTGAAGAAGACCGTAAAGCGAGAGAAGAAAGGTGGCAACGTGTGAATGGTTTGCAGCCACCATCGACTGAGAATACAATTTCAGTTGATCCAGAGTTACCCAGAAGTTCATGCGATTCAAATGAGGTAAAAAAAATATGTTTAGTGGTTAGAATCCCTTCAGTTTTGTGTTTTTGAGCTACGTTTTTAGTTTTAAAGGAAACTTTCACTTAACTGTACGTGATGATTATTGAAACGAATTAGTGAAATGCCACTCACTCACTATAACTATTTAGCTTTTAGGTTAGTAAGCATTTGATTAACTGTAATGGAAAATATGTTCAAGTCGTAACCTGAAGACCTTGGGTTCGATCCGTGGTTGGGTCATGGGTGTGCACTTCTAAATAATCCCAAAATCTAACAAAAGGGTTGTCTAGTACTCCTCTTTTGTAATTGATGTCAGTTTGTGACATCTTATTTGCCACGAAATTTATATGAGCCGTATATTTCGTTTGAAGGCTGTTGATAGTGTGGTGGTGGGATAAAGACAACGTGATCCAACGAAATATTGCTCTCACATTTTCCCACAGTTTAATACTGCATCAGCAACAGAATACTGTGTGTGTGTCGTGTAATGTAATTTAAAGTCACACGCTCAGTGACTGGTTGAAGAATATAAATTGTGTAGATATAAATGGCTGTTTGGTCACTTGAAAATATACCTTGGTTTCCGTGTTTGCTTTCTGCCGTTATGGTAGTATTTTAGAATCCAGTCCCCACTAGTTGAAGCGGGTTTCATACTCTTCACCTAATGTTTCTAGTGTTTAGGTGATTCTTATTAGGCGTTTTGTAATAACTATACTTAACTCATTTAAAGTATTTTTATAATCGCATCGGTTATGGCCGTGTATGCGTTATTTTCATATAACTGTCTATTCGTCTTACCTAGTACCTAGCGGTTCAGTTTGCAATATCCTTAAAAGTATATTGGGTCAGTTAAGTTAAAATGCATAAAATGATACAAATGGACAATTATGTGTTGAGATATCGTATTGGGGGAGGGGAATCTAACTGACGTTAGCTCAGTAGATTAAGCAGTTTTCAAACCTGTGACCCGGAGTTTGTAAATTGACTATATAAAACACCAAACTACAAGTACACGTAGAAATGCATAGAATCACCTAGTTTGAATGCATTTTTTGTGATAAATTCATTTCATTTGTGTGTTTTAGGTTCGACTGCAATTACGGTCGTTAGAAGGTGGCCACTTAGTGCATCAATTTCCTGCTACTGCATCTCTTGCCGGTGATGTGCGTAATTGGATCCAAGAAATGGCATCGTGCAATTTCCAGACGGTTGATAACCTGCAGGTTTTGAATGAACCAGCGATCAGCATATTTAGGAACTTGATAAAGAAGGGATACCGATTTTTACAGTTGCATCCTAAAAGGTAATTTTGTGCCATTTAGTCTCTTTGTTAATCATGACGGTAACATGCTTATTCACTGTTGTTCCTCAATATTTAATCCAATAATTTTTGATTTCATTTTATGCAGCTGTTTACATATATGTTTAACTTACAAATGACTTAGGTTTTGTATATTGTTTCACTAGGTTGCTTGAACCTGAAGAGGAGTGTCAGTCATTACGGGAACTCGGTTATTGTCCTTCGGCCACATTGTTCCTAGTTTCGGATAGACCTAATCAAGCCGTCAGTCTTTCATCCGGTTTGTTGATTGATTTTTTTATTTCTCAGTTCTGGTTTAAAATATTTCCACTAAATCGATCGTGTCTTACTTTTTTTAATATTCCTCAAAATCAAATTTTCCACACTGAAACATTTATAAAGTAGTAGGTTTGAATATCTACCACACAACTGATGTCACTTTGTTTGCAAACAGATAGATACCCAAAGGGAACTTCGCATTTTTACTTTAGATTGTTTAACCTGAATCTGAATTCAAGAAAGCCAAGGTGAAAATCTGTAAAACTAAAAGAATTAAAGGTAATATGATTAGAAGTCGTTGAAAAGAAAAAAGTTTAAAAAGTAATAATGTTGCATACTAACACCGTGATGCAAACAAGCTATAGAGGTATTTGTGACACTGTTGTTGATTCTGAAAGGTGTGCTCTGTTGTCAAACTATCAGGTTTGATATTATGACTTATTCCAGTCTCATGTCCGATTCGGCGTACACAAATCTCCCTTCAAATTTCATGTGAACTCAAGCCTTCCTTTTCATGGGAGCAAACTGTATATTGCACTGACCCAACAATCTACCTTAAATATGTTTCTACACGTTATAAAATGTCAGAAACATTGGTTAGGTTGCGGGAGAAACCACCATCATTATTTAAGATACACTTTAATGAGAAACCAAGATTAAAGTCAAGATGATGCAAAACAGAGGTTTGTAGTTGCAGAAACGTGTTTATATCAGGTGACGAGCCAGTTAGACTCCCTGCTTTGTCACTGAAGGGTAGCACCACGAAAAGTCAGCCGAAAAATTGCACATCTTGATCTACTCTAATGCTCAGTATTTCTACCCTCTAATTTTTTGAAGCTGTGAGGCGCCAGCACTCGAAGTAGAAGACGGCGAAATACTACAGGTGTTTCAGAGTATTCATTTTTGTCCAACTGTGAACATCAGGTGAACCTGCATCTTAAGTAGCAGAAGATTAAGGATTGTGCTAGATAAGGAAGGAGGTCGGACAGCAATGTGAATCTTTGCGATTGATTCTTCTGGGATACATCTTACGCATGTCGAGTCATTTCTTCCGTTGTCCGTCCTTATTATCTGTAATAGTATTGATGATATTGATCTTAGCGTTTCAACTCTCACGTTAGATATTTTGCTATAATCCCTGTTTATTTACTGTTATTGTGTGCCGCGTCTTATGATACCTTCCAATTCCCATTTTGTATTTCAGTGGTAAGCATAAACGTAACAAGAGTTAGGTTTCGTGTTTTCTCTTGAATGATTTCTCATCATAGTTTAACAAATGATAATATCAATATTTTCATTCTAATATGGTACAGATATGTAAATCTCGGTGCCAACTTTGTTTTTTTCATTTAGGAGGAATAGCTTCGCAGTTTTATTGCATTATCACTTCAGGTGTCAGTAGTGTTTATGGTCTACTTAGTTGGGCATTCAGTGGGATATACTCTTTGGGTCATGGTCTGGTGTCTACCGTGACAGGTTCCCGTACACAACAGTCTAATAGTAATTCTAATAGACTACCTGTTAATCCAGACAATGCGCCACGCAGCCATTCTGTGAGACGCCAGGTCAGTTTTGACTTTTACAGTAAAAATGATACTCAGTTGGTTGTATTTGTTGCTTTTCCTAGTGTTTTTATTGACTATTACTATTTCTCTCTTATAGGGTAATATTGCACGTCTTTCTCATATGCCGGATAATTCAGACGATGAACAGGCTCGATGGAATGGAAACTCAACAGAACAATTGTGATATTATTTTGCTCTTTGTTATTTTAACCTGATTGCCTTATTGTTTTTCCGGTGGAAAAATTTATTCATCTGTTTATCGAAGAAAGAAAAGAAGTTACTGTCCATCTGCTAACACTAACTAGGAGGGCTAAAGGATATTTTAACATCTTCAACCCTTCATTCTTGGTTTTCACATAAAATGACGCGTGTATTGCGTTTTTCTTTCAATGAATTGAATACAACTGTCAACTGGGATTTAAAAATTCAGTTTTTTAAGAGTATACACAAATGTTTGAATATTTATAACATTATTATTATTATTATGAGATACATTAAAGAATATTTCAGTTGCCTGTTTATCATTGTATTCAACGTAATATAATAAATTCATTTGTGATATTGATGCCGTATATAATTGGTGATTGGAGAAGTGTTGTTATTTCGAATAAAGGGGTATGTGATTTTTTTCTTTGAATACTACGGTACACTGAGCATAAGCAAGCTGTGGTTTATCGTTTATATCTGTTAGTGAGACTTTGTATCACCATATTAGTTTGTTTATTAGATATATAACACAGTGAAGCAGTATTATTTGCTGGATGAGGTTTCGAACACAATTTATTATTGTTTATAATCATATCAACTATAATCACATGACTTTGAAACTTCAGTTGTGTAGTTTTCTTTATTCATTCCCATTTGTCGTAGAGGTAGTAGAATTTTCCAGATATCTTGAACAGATGTTGAACCATTCCTTTTTCCCGTGTTTGCAGTTGACTCGATAAATAAAGCTTCCGTTATCAATCTCCCCTCTACCCCGTTAGATTAGATTTTAAAACTGTCGTCTCATCCCATCCTATTGTATGGTTGTGTGTGATTGCGTGTAGTGTACACAGTCCGCTTCCCGACCGAAGCACCCCAAAACCTCACGCAGCTTATTACCCAGCAGTAAGCCTGGAAAAGAGAAGGTTGGATATAAGGCTAGCAGTCCACCCCCATAAAACCGCTAGTGAAACTTCATAAGCTTGAAGCCCTATATTCCCTTCGCGACGCAAAGAATGGTTAAACATATATGACATCTGAAAATGATATTTTATGAACTATCCCGAAATCTTATCTAAAACATGTTCACTGTCACGTAATATCAATTCTTCCTGTGGTATGGCATGCGCATAATTATTTCGTTCATTGTTGGAAGGCGTTCTATCGTTTCCCGATTGTAACACAATAAGAAACAAGAAAGTTTACATTATATAAGTTATTTCTACGGACGCAATTACGAGGTTTTATCAGACGAATAACAATGAATGCTCTAATTCTGTACTGCCGAAATGAGCAGGTACGCTAGAAAGATACTCTTCGACTAATTCTTAAAATGTTGTACAATTATTTCTCTTAATAAAATTTCTGCCTTTAAGTCTCATGGAGTAATGTCATGTGTTCATTTGACTATCCCTGACAATTCCTAGGTCGGGTATCATTGTTTGGCAAGAAAGAGGTTGGCTCATCGGGTGTGACACATGTCCTAGCCAACACAATCGGTGCAGCTTCACAAACCCACTGATTAACTTTCCCTCTTCACCTAAGACAGAGTGTTTAGTCTCTATATTACTCACTATATTGTACCACTTAACACGGGTGATAGAACGCAAACACCTATAATCAAAGACAGCTAGCCTCTTCATGACTTCCACTCCCAACGGTCATGTCACACAGTCATGAAGGAGAACAAAGTGAACAGCTCCACGGTGAGGACACGTCCTTTGACCGGTGGCTGAGTATCACATTTGCATCAAAGGTTGCGAAATTAAGAAAGTGTTTGTCCTGAGGTTTCATTTGATCAATAACCAGTCCATTGGGGTCGATGCAGCTTGCCAAACGCTTCCCTTGTCTTTAAACTGGATTTCGCTGCAGACCAGTCCTTCAGAATCACCTTATATTCGAGAGGAGAAAATATTATTCTAAACATTCAGAGATTTCCACTCTCGGTGTTCAGGAAACTACGTTTTGTCTTGGTCTCGACTCTAAAGAACAGTATCATTCACGTACCTCTTGTCGACAATAGGGTTAGTATATCTGTGAAGAAACTAAACAACCGTGGGGAAAACGGGCATCCTTGACGGACACCACTGGTTGTCATCAATTCAGATGACAAGTCTCCTAGAGCTCTTACACGCCTGTGTGGGTTCTCTCTCTCTCCTGTATTCACTTCAAAGGCTTCACTGAATTTTCTGTTGTGGATCACCTGACACGTTGCACTCATATATTTGTTGGATGATGTTGAGGATGCAGGCCATAGGTTTTGAAGTAGTTTCTAAATTACTTCTCGATAAACTCTTTCGAAGGTCTTTTCGAAGTTGATGTAGCAGAGGTAGTGATTTGACTGTCATTCTATGCGCCGTCCGATGATATGTAGAGTTGGAATTCGATCAGCACATTATTTTGCCTTTCCGGAATCCAGCTCGTTCCGGGCTGGCGGAGTTCTTCATCCAGTATATCTTTTATTCTCTCCAGGCTGATGCGACTTAGTACTTTAATTGGCTTTGACAGGAGCATGACTCCACGCTATTTCTTGTAGAGGATTAAGTCGCCTTCCTTTGGTAGCTTGACATGGTAGCCTTTCTTCCAATCGGTAGGCACCTTCCTTTCCTTCCATACCTTTTGCAAGAATGGCGTGAGCACATTTTCCGCAGTCTCTAGGTCCGTTTTCACTTTAGGGAGAATCCGTCTAGTCATGGTGACTTCTCGAACTTCAGTAGCTTGATTGCTTTCAAGATCTCCGCTTTTGTTGGAAGATTAGTGTCCATTGGCAGGCAGTTCTGGGCCTGCTGTTGGTGGTGGGTCTGAGTGAGTTGCAGACGATGATGGTCGACTCAAGAGTCCTTTGGGGTGCCCAACCGGTTGTTTTATGTTCTTCTCCTCCTTGGTAATTTGGTTCCCTTGACCATCTTCCATTGGTTTCACCTGCGTTGGTCCTTTCCAGGAAGGAGATATTGACGCACCTCTCGATTTGTATGTAACAATTGCAACATCATATAATGGCATTACAAATGTTTAACGGACACAACACAATGATTTTAAGCAGATGAATAATAATACGTACTCCAGTGATTATATACCACATTTCCATTAACAGTCGTTTATGTGCTGTGAGGCTGGAAGGTTATACGAAAGTAAGGAGTAGTAGGCCAGATAGGCGGTGTCTATTTGTTGTCTCTGCCTATGCACCGACGGATTGCAGCCCGGATGCAATGAAGGATGAGTTTTACTACCAACTGAGCGATCTCTTGAAACAGGCGGGTCGGAGGGATATCGTAGTGCTGGCTGGGGACTTGAATGCACAGGTGGGGCGTCTAAGCTCAGAGGAGAATCGTCTAGGTGGTCAGTGGGGACTACATGGTCGCAGGTCAGATAATGGGGACCGTCTTCTGCAGCTTTGCGCGGATCACAACCTATTTCTAGCTAGCACCAACTTCCGGCACAGCCATCGCCGTAGCGCTACCTGGCGTCCTCCCTCTGCGAAGCAAGCTTGGACTCAGATTGATCATATCGCGGTCAGTTTCCGGTGGCGAGGATGCATACAAGACTGTCGCTCCTTCTGGAGCACATGCCTGGACTCCGATCATGCGTTAGTGTGTGCCAAGTTCGTCTTGCGATTTGGTGGGGTTCGTAAAAGCCGTCGTCTAAGCGTTGATGTGAGCAAACTAGTAGCACCTGCTACTTCTTTGAAATATCAGAATGAGTTAAAAACAATGCTTGCCAGCAACCCCCCAAGTAGTATAGATGAACATTGGCTTCATGTGCAAGGTGCCATGCAAAAGGCGAGTGTAGCCGCTTGCGGCTTGAAAGAATGCTCCGCTAAAAACCACTGGGTTTCTGCGAGTTCCTTGCAACTCATGGATGAACGCCGGTCCATTCCGGCTGGCAGCGAATACAACAATCAGCGAAAGGCGCTCACGCGCAAGATTAGACAGTGTTTACGTAAGGACCGCGAAGCCTGGTGGTCAGAACGTGCGTGTGAGATGGAGTCAGCTGCTGCATCTGGCAACAGTCGGAAGCTGTTCCAACTCATACGAGCCACCGGCAGCAAGAAACAAGGTGTCAGCGAGACGGTCTGTGAGGCAGATGGCACTCCAATTACCAGCCTGAAAAGACGCCTGGAACGCTGGGCAGAGCACTTCGGGAAGCAGTTCAGCTGGCCACCAGCTTCAGTGTCTACTATCATTAGCCCGAGTGCTCCTTGGTCGGTTAGTACCGACCCACCCACCGAAGCGGAGGTCCGTAAGGAACTCCAAGTTCTGAAACGCCATAAGGCGCCCGGCCCAGACAAATTACCCCCGGCTCTTTTTAAAGATGGTGGCGAGACTCTCACAATGGCTCTAACTGGGTTGTTCAGGAAGGTGTGGGAGACAGAGAGTGTACCATCAATGTGGAACGAAGCCATTATCGTCCCCATCTTTAAAAAGGGTCGACGTAATTCGTGTGACAATCATAGGGGTATCAGTCTGTTACCAGTCGCGTCTAAAATATTGGCTGCTGTCTTGCTTCGCAGACTGTGCAAAATACGTGAAGGATTGATTCGCGAAGAGCAGGCTGGGTTTCGTTCAGGTCGTGGATGCATTGATCATGTGTTCACCCTTCGTCAGTTGTTGGAACACCGCCACACGTATTGCAGGCCAACGATCGTTGTGTTTCTTGATATTAGGGCTGCCTTCGATTCGTTGGACAGAACTGTGCTCTGGAACTGTCTGTTAGAGAGAGGTGTACCTGAGAAATTTGTTAACATCTTGAAAGCCCTATACAGAAACACCTCAGGTAGAGTGAGGGCATACAACCAACTATCACCACTGTTCCCAACCAACAGTGGGGTTAGACAGGGTTGCCCAATCTCTCCATTTCTCTTTAACTTTGCCATCGATGACATTCTGGAGTCAGCTCTGAAGGATGTGCGTGAAGGTGGTGTAGATCTGCTACCTGGAGATAGACTTTTCGACCTCGAGTATGCAGACGATATCGTCTTAC